CTTCCTGTGGGTGGTTGGGGGGGGGGGCAGGGCTGCCAGAGGGAACCCCCTCCCCGTTCTCCTTGGTGTGGTAGAGAGGTTGACTTTTGCTCTTGGTGTGTTTCCAGGCTTCTTCAAAATCCTCCGAGGACAGGACCACTGCGGCATCGAGTCCGAGATTGTGGCTGGCATCCCCAGGCCCGAGCAGTACTGGAAGAAGGTGTAACCTTCTTGATCAAACCACAAATAATCCCGAGTCCCCGATGCTTTTAACTTGATAGCAGGTTGGGTGCAGAGCCCCCCCTTCTAAGAGACTATAGTTGAAGTTACTTTATTAAAGCTTTTTATCTTCTTTTTTTTTTTTTTTTTTTTTTTAATGGTATGGTGGAGCTGGAGGTGGAACTTCTCTCTGCAAGCCCTCTGCTCCTGGTGGGTCGTAGCTATGGGGCATTCCCTGCGCAAAGGACTGCTGGAGGGCTCGCTGGCCTCTCGTACCGTGGTATTTGGTTAGCCTGGACCCCCTTCAGCCCAGTCTGTTACTGGGAGTGTAGGAAGCAGTAGCTTTATGCTGGGACTGGGGACTTGGTGGGGTAGTGGAGATGGACCTTGCTGGGAAGCCATGGCCAGGAGTGATCTGTGCATCCCTGGCTGGCTTGGTCTGACTGTTAGCACCCAAAACAAGCAGGGTATGATAGCGAGTGCCTTGAATTGGCTCAACTTAGACCTATTGATGACAAAATACTGACAAACTTGATGCAGGGCTGTCTCTGACCAGAGCTGTGTTAAGGCCCCTCTTGGCTGCAACGAGTCCTTTGTGCATCGCTTGCTCTGCCCCATCTGTTCGGCTGCTTTTTTAAACCACTTGCTCCTCAGCTCTTTATTTTGGGGTGGGTTTTTTTCCTGCTGTAACCTGGGGTTATTGATCCTAGGGAAGGGGCTGGCTGGAGCTCCACGAGCCTTTGATCAAACGTTGTGCAAGCATCTAGAAGCACGCTGGAAAAAAACAAACCACTTTTTATCCGTGGCTTGGGAAGCTCGGCGCATGTGGCGGGTCGTGCCTTGGCAGGGGTGCCGCATCCAAAATTGGTGTGGGGCTTTGGGACTGCAGGTGCTGAGCAGGGATGAGGATGTTCCGTGGGTCTGCTGCAGGGAGCTCATGCAGGTGCTTGGAGGTATCTTGCTAACTTGCACACAATTGAAGCTTTTTTTTTTTTGCCTTTTTTTTTTTTTTGAGCCACAGGTGTTAAGGAAGAAGAAAAAACCCTTATTTTTGTTACTGGGGGGAGGTGTAAAAGCTGTGTAGGAGGAATCATGTGATTTGCCAACACTAATATAGCAAAAAAGCTTTTTTTTTTTTTTTTTTTAAATTTTAAAGCACAAAGTATATCCCAGGCCTGGAATGCGTACAGCAGGCTCTCCCTCGCACTGTACGATAGCCCCTTACCTCTGCTTACTCAGACACCAGTGAGACAGAGACCAGTGTCTACGAATGGAACAACTGTGCCAATAAATGATTTCTCCAGTGTCTTGTCTCCTGACCCTTGGTTGCTTCTGCTTGGCTTCACACCACCTCCACCTCTTCTCCTGTTGCTCTCTGCGTGGTGACAGCCAGGCGAGACCCTTCTGTCTTCCTGCGCTGTGGTGGGTGCCAGCCCTGTCCTCTGCCCAGGCCGGTGGTGGCGCGTGGACTCCTGAGGAGCTCCTGGGCATCCCCTGCTCCTGATGGTGGGGAAGGTGCTCCAACAGCCCCTGGCAGCTCTTGCACAGAGGTGCAGGGGGAGGAGGATGTACCAGGGAAGGTACTGGAGATGTGCCTGCAGCCCAGGGCTGTGCCACCGCTCCCGCTGCCCGCAGTGCAAGGGCCACTGAAGTTAATTTACTGACTTGAGCTGTCTCTTACCCTGGTATGGGAGAGAAGGCTTTACGGTGATGGGTCCTGAGGGGCAGCAAGGAAACGTCTGCACTTCATCTGAGCTGAGGGCTTGTAACTTGTGGGGAAACAGCACCAAGGTAAAAGAAATGACAGCTTAAAAAAAAACAAACCACCCACACACCTTTTTTTTTTCCCAAAGAAAACTTTAATTTTAACAAGACAGGAAGCCGCACAAAGAGAGCTACCGCAAGTTTCTTTTAAACAACGGCTTAAAACTATCTACATCGGTACTGGTGGAGCAGAGGTCCTCCCTCTGAGTAACAGTCTGGCCCCACAGGCTGGGCCTTGGAAAGGCCCCTGAGCTGCACCTGGGAGGCTGAGCTCCATCCTGCAGCAGGACACAGGCTGTCCTCCCCTTCACAAAGGCAAAGCAGCATTCAGGGGTGATAGGGACCATGAAAAGAAAAATCCACCCCAGGAACATGGGACTTGCCTTTAAAGCATTGTTTCTTCTTGAAGTAAGTCCGGTCTGATGCGTTTCAAAACAGCAGTGGAAGCCTCTTCCAGTTTGCATGTCAGTCTAACCCAAAGCATCATCCAGGTGGGCCAAGGAAACCTGCCCTGACCCCACCCCCGGCAGCTTGAGCCTTCCCAGCCGGGATCACCGCTGCCTTTCGGGGTGGCCAATGGACCAAAGCTCCCAAAAAATCATCCCATGAGGGACGGCACAGCACAAACCCTCGCTCCCCTGCCTCGCAGAGGCATCCGGCGCCGCTGCGATGGTGCTGCTCTGCCGCAGCCACCCCTCCCCGGGGGCTGAAGAAGGGGTTCAGAGCCCAGACCCCGCAGTGGAGTCAGGCAGGGGGGTACCAGCTCAGGGCCATGCAAGCAGCTCCTGTCTCCTCCATTGCATCATCTCCCCAGCTGCTAAATTACGAAGCTTTGCAAGTGCAGGGTGCCATCTGCTAGAGGCCAGGGAGCTGCAGTAGATGATTTCCAGCTGGGAGCGGGGGGGGCACATTAAAGTGGACAGAGCATTCCCCCCTCCTATGTATTTAACATGAAAAGGGCTTGTTTGAAGCCTAGTAGCCTCCTTCAGCACAACAACAGAAATGCAAAGATAGCCTCTGCCTGTTTCCAGGCTGCAGGATGTCAACCAGCCTGGGCTGAAGGCCAGAAGGTGGCCAGAGCTTTTTCCCTGGATAAGGAAGCATATTCCTCTCCTGTCAGTGCAGAGCAAGCACCAGAGGCGATGGGGAAGAGCCTGCCTAAGAAAGGGAGGCAAAACCTAGAAGATCTTGCTCAGCTCTGAGCTGGAAAGGTGTCTCAAATCTCAAGCAAGAAAAGAGGCAACTGGAGTTTCTATTTAAAACCATCCTAATCAAAAAAAAAAAAAAATCAGGTAAACCATCCAACAAGAAAGAAGGGAAAAAAAAATATTCAACCCCCAAACAGTAAGACTCCAATTAGCAACTGTAACCATCCAAGCAGATGGCAAGGGCGGTGAGGAGCGGAGTCCGGCAACACCGCCCCATCGCCCCAGGGCTGCAGCTCACCGACGTCCCGTCCTCATCACCGTCCCAGGCCCCGTGGCACCCCGCTGCCGGGCCATCCCCACCGGCAGGGGACGAGGACCTCCTGCCTGCGCTGCCCATCTGCCAACTGTCTTTCCCCCCGCCCCCCCACCGCCCATCAGTTCTCGCCCGCCTGGACGTACTCCTCGGTGGCCTTGGAGATGGTGCTGAGGTACTGCCAGCTCAGGGCGGCCAGGAGCATGGCGCAGGACAGGTAGATGGGGGAGTAGTGGTGCCGCGATACCACGGGGCCGCTGGGCAAGCTCATGGCACGGATGGAGGCGATGATCTGCTGGGTCTTGTTGCATGATGGGTCTGTGCTTGGGATCTTCTGGTAGATCTGGGGGGGAGGAAGGAGGAGTTATGGTTCCACCCAAAGCTGAGGAGACAAACAAGACCACCAGGTAGACGAAGAAGCCTTAAGGGCCACCGTGTCCTCAAGAGCAACCTCAGTGGTGGACTGCCACTGAGCAAGGACCAGCGGCAAGGGATGCCTGGCTGGGGCCAGGGCCCACTTCCCTCAAGAAGTGCACTAAGCCAAGCAGCCTCTTGAGGGCACCCCATGACGGGAGATAGACCACACAGCGTCAGACACAATCCCTCAACAGCAAGCGGTGTTGCTGGGACCAGCAGTTCTTGCCCAGCAATCCTCACTCACTTGTGGCATGCTGCAGCCCACCCCAAACCCCAGTGTGACCAGCAGCCACTGTGACTGCCAGGCAACGGCCACCTTCATCAGATAACCCCATGGTCTTTGGGGTTTTCTCTTCACAATCTGCAAACCCCATGCCCTTTAAGGAACTTGTCTGCATGAGTCTTGGGGAGACGTGCACAAGCAGAGACCCTCCTCTGGACTAAGGTCCCTTGTCATGGGGTTGGCCAGCCGCAAAGGGTGCTCTAATAACCCATGGTTTGGGGTCTCCCTGGTGCAGAAGTAATGTCTTTTTATTTAACAGCCCTCACTGGATTTGGTTTTGGGGGTTGTTTTGTTTTTTTTTCCCCCATTAATCTATCCACCAGATGTTCCTCCACATGAACTTTTAACCTCCACAGTACCCTGAAGTTGGGAGTCCCACTGCTTTAACCACCCCTGAAGAGCTGCTCCACCTTATTTACTGTTGGCCAAGGAGCACAAGGAAATAACCACCACATCAGGCTGCCAGTTGCAACTATAGACACGGAGAAAACGAGACTGCTCGCTGGACCAGCCCGTGGGGAGATGATGCAACCAGCTCAGAAGTGTGCTGTGGGAACGGTCTTCTGTGCCTGCTCAGCCCAGGGGAAGCCCTGTGCTGTGACAGCCGACTCATCTCATTCTCCACCAGAAGGACAAGAGGACCTTGGTCTCTGCCTCTCACCACAGGCACAGACCAAGGATACATTCAAGGGCACCCGGTTTGGTCCAGGGCAAAACCACATCAGGGTCACCGTGCCCTGCCACCACTGAACGGAGAGACATAAGGAAAGGATTAACAGATTCACGCGTCTTCCCAATTCCACACCAGAAATGAGGATGGGAACAGCCAGAAATTACCTGAAGCAAGTTGCTCAACCTACCTCTTCCACATACTGGTACATGATGGCTTTGACAGCTTGTATGTTTGTGGCATCCATCATAAGAGTGACGGCTTGTCCCTTCCGGATCTTCACTACACCCCTGAACACCTGCTTGTTGTTATAGCAGGCAGACAATGTGGCAATAGCCATCACCTAAGGAGAAACACCAAGGAGTTTACCACATTGCGAGAAGCATGCCAAGGGAGTAACCTTGGCCGTAGTGAAATCGATGGCAAGACGCTCTGGAGCGGAGCCACAATCTCACTGGCAGCAGAAACAGCAGGTACCAGGAAAGAAGGAAGAGGTAGAAGAGATGGAGAATTAAACAGGCTAATACTGACATTGATACAAAACCTCCTTCACCTCCGACTCCTCATCAGCTGGGCGGCAGACGACGACAAATCACTTGAAAACGTAACTCACCTGGGGGATAGCACAGAAGTTGAAGACACTTTGGTTTTTCAGGCGGGATAAGTACGTGAGGACATCAGGGACATGGTGGAGGGCGTTGGTGATGAGCTCATTCAGACACTGGACAGCCATATCAATGTTCTCTGGTTTGGCAAGATCCGAGAGCTTCTTTGCGTATCTGCTCCAAACCTAAACATCAAGGTAAGGACTCACAAGTTGGAGAGTGCACTCATGCCGTAAGAGAGACATCACTAACAGTCTGCGGTCTGGGAGAGCAACAACAACCACCAGAGACACACAAAAACCTTGAAGGATTGGGGTTTACTAGGCTAACGAAAAGAAGGGTGGGCGGGCTGTGGAGACATGACAGCGGCCTTCGTTATGTACAAAGGGACCGTAAAGGAGAAGGATGCACCTCATCTCCACATCTTCTCTCAGTAGGGCAAGGAAAAGATGCATCACACATCAGGCTGACATCAAGAAATGCTCTATGAGACAGGTGAGACACATGGAAAAGGGCGAGAAAAATTCTTGGAGGGCCTCAAGAAGAGCAGGCAAGCATCTGTCAGACACAGGCAAAGCTGATCCTGCCTTTGGGAACAGACCAGGTACCCTCTCGAGATCTTACCCAGTCTTATCCTCCCTCATTCCTGGAGCCAACATAACAGAGAGGGGGGAAAAAGCTGCCCAACACGTTCTTGGCAGTGTGCGGAGACATCATCTCGTCCCCCATATCTGTACCCAGACAGCTGTAGGTAGAGTGGAACTTGTCGGCCAGACGACATTAGAAAAACTGTTGTCATCAAGATGTACAACCAACAGTAGCGATCTTAGGCAGCACAGCTTTACTGTTGGGTCTTAGTAAAATTAAAGCAGACCATCAAGTCTCTCCTGTTAACTTTGATTTAAAAGGACGTGAGAGACGATACAATTTTAGCTGTGCACGTTCCGCTACGCACGCTGTAGTGCGTTCCCAAGACAGGTGTCCTGGGAAGCATGGCTGGTTGGGTGCATCCATTACAGTTCTGGGACAGAAGTATGGAATACTGTCAAGGGACACTAGCAAATGGTGGGGAAAACCCCTGGCTTTGGGGATTTCAAAGGAAATCCCAGCAGGAACCCTTCTAATGAGAGGATGCAACTCACTGTATCAGGGCAGCAACAACAGCACCTTCGGTCTTCATGCATTTCCCAAAGGGGCACAGCAGAAATGCTCGCCCCAGGGTGATGTTTTCCCTCACCTCTCTGGGCCAGAACTCCCTTCCCTCCAGCTGGTCCTCCAGGTAGTCACGGATGATGTTAGTTTTCTGCAGGAAGAGGCCCATGGAGTTCGCCAGCTCTGTGTCCTGCCCGACAATAGGATCTTCTAGCTCTGATGCAGAGAAGAGACGTGAAAGGCCGATCCCCACCAGCCCAGCAACGTAGTGACAATACTGCGAGGCACCGAGAAGGGAAGGGGCAGGAAAAAAAGAAAAAAAGAACAAAACAAAACAAAAAAACCCAAGATAAAAGGAGAAGTTACAAAGAGCCACAGTTTTACAAAAATGATGCTCAGAATTGACAGTCCATTTTCTGCAAGTTCTCGCAGCTCTCCCTGGGATGTCTCAGCTTTCCCATGCCCAGCAAACACATCACCAAGGATGTCCCACCAAGGTGACACTCTGCCCCCAGCAGCCAAATCAACTGCCCAGAGGGGAACAGCTGACGTGATAGGTCACCCAAAACACGTGCTGGTGAGCAACACCAACACTCCACGCCATCCTCCTGTTACCCGCAGGACCAGGAGTCAGTCTCTCAAAGCCTTCCCAAGCCCACACGGCCTCCCTCATTCAGCTGAACGCTCTTTCTGCAGGGATGCTCTGTCTCCTCCTTCCCCAGAGACAAGGTGGACCCAACTCACGTTCAGTCCACTCCTCTGTCTGGGCTGACTTACCTTATCCCACTCATGCTGAGAGTCCACCTTCTTCTCCAAGAACTCTGCCATACCGACACCCATCTTGTGGCAGATATCCGAAATCACATCCTGGTAGACCTTTGACAGGTTCCTGAACTCCATGGAGATCTGCAGCACAAACCACCATGAAGAAAAAAAAAAAAAAAAAAAAGACAGAGTCAGGAAAAAATAGCAGAGCTCAACCTTTATTACGAAATCAGAAAAAGACTGTTTACCAGGCTCTTATCCCACCCTGGCTGGAGATCTAGGACAACTCCCACAACCAGAGTTGTTTCAAGGCCCTTAAAGCACAGGCTGAGTCTGTTCTCAGTCTAAACGGAACGGTCTCTGGCGGTAGATCAGACACAGCAGTATCTCTGGGAAAGCTCTGTGGCCTTGGACTGGTATCATCTGGGAGCTGCAGGACAAAACTAGCTACGCTTGGTGCGCGGAGTTGGTGGGGTTTTTTGTAATTTGTGAGAGCACCCCATCACGCCAACCACAGGAAAAGACAGGGGAGGTTTTTGGTGCTCTGCTCTGAGCCCTCTCCAGCTCTGGCTCCGCAGAGCACAACTGGAAAGGCATCAAGCAACGGATACAGTGTGAAATCCTTCTTCTGCGTGTCCAATAACACGATTCAGTGACTCAATCGCTCTCACACTGAAAAAAAAAATAATTAAAAAGCGCATCCTCCCCTTCCCAAAACTGTGGAGCATCACTTTTTACTGTGCTGAGGTTTATCCTCCATCAGTGGGTAACTACAGCCAGCGCAGGGAGCGTGTCCGGGAAGGACAGCGGTGTGTACGATGACAGCTCAGACACCACCGCAGATCCAGGCTCTCCTCCCGACTCCATGCTCGGCTGCTGGCATGTCCCGGCCCTGTGTCTGAGCCTGTCTGGAAAATACGCGTTACCTGCTCTGCTTCTGTCTCAAGGGCTTCAGTCCACTACACAGCACGACCTGCGAGTACACCCCTAACAACTATTATTAAAATCATACGTGAATGGGAACTCAGATTGCCCGAGTAACACTCACACACCAAGAGAGAACAACAAAGTGCCATAAACACCTTCTCAAAAGTGTTTTTTAAAGTACCCAGCCATTGGCACACCTACTTTATCACTATACATCAAGAATCTGCTGACACAGCCACCTCCTATAGCACACACCCCTCCCATACAGGGCACAGCCACTGTTATCCCAAGGCTGAGCATCAAAATTTACAATACACCTCAGTTTTCCAAACAATTATCCCATTCCCACTGCATTTTAAATGGTACAAAGCTGAACAACACAGGACTTCCTCAGAAAACGAAATGCTCCTCACTATAACCATTATACTTCTTCTTAAACAGAGCTTAAAAAAAAACCTAAAAAATAAACCCAGCTATTCTCGATCAACATGAGCAACAGCAAAACTGCAGCATCCAACCAAGGGCTGGTCCATGTGCCCTCACCAAAACCAGATGTCTGTATCCCCACCCAGCAGAGCTCAGCCTTGCATCTCTCTCTGCTGTCAGCTCGATGGATCCCCTCTAGGACAACTGGCCAGATGGGCTTCCCTTCAGTGCTGGGAGACGCGGCACCTCAGCGCGGCAAAGCTCCATCATCCCACTGCCTCCTGCTGGGGATGAAACCTGGCAGGAGCCCAGGACAAGCATCGTGGTTTCAGCTCTGCGTCGTGCCATCCCGAGCGCCTACAGCAGAGTCAAGGTCCTACAGCTCCATCTGCACCAGGAACTTCAGGATCGAGCATGGAATCAATCACCTGCATGGCCCCTGGAGGGCTTCTGACCCCAAGCCATCCCCAGATGGAGCTTGGGAAGCAGCGTGGGGCAGAAACCACTTCTCAAGGACAGTCTGGGATGCAACCACGCTGTTCTGGATGCTGAGAGAGTTTAACAGCTTGGACATGGACAGACTTTCCCAACTGGCCTCCAGGTCAGCAAACGGGGTCCAGGATTGCTTAGCCGGCTAGTGGAGATGCAGACTCTCTGTGGCTTCTTTATTTTAGAGCAGTAAGACTTAGGGCAATATGGTTACTAACAGTGAGGGTGCCTTCTATCTTATATACATGTCAAAGATCTGTGGACAGGCTGCTGTAGCTCTAGAGCAGATCCTGCAGGACTGCTGCAAACGCCGGTCCATCCATGAGCCAGATGCCAGCCAAGCTTTCCTCCTCTCCCTATCTGTCAGGGGTCACAGGACGCCCAACCCAGGCAACGCACAGCGTTGGGCAACAAATCCAAATCGCTCTCCACAAGCGGATGGTCATTTGCTCTTCCAACAAGAGAGGCAAAAAGCCACTTTTTAGAGCTGGCGCTTCTCCACAGCCAGGTTATCTCTGGCTCACAGAGAGAGTTGCACAATGTTTGTGTTTCTCACTCCAGCCTGCATCCCACCTTAGATGCTGGTGATGTAGCTCTGCTGAAGAGCTACGTGCTCACCAGGGACTGAATGAGCTCAGGTGTAACGTGGAGAGGCAACTGTGCACACAAAGATGACACAAGGCAGCTGAAGCAAGGAGGTGGATGCCTTACCGTTGGGAAGTCCTCGAGCACCTGCCGGTCCTTCTCCTTGCTCTCCATGTATTTCCACTCCGGTTGATAGAGATAGGAGTGAAACTCGTGCAGCATCGGGACCTTTACATCTAAGCTGATGGTCATGTCATCCTCTATAGTGTCCAGGGCACGGAGGACTAGGTAGAATATACAGACAGCATGTCTGTGGGGGGAGAGAAAAAAACAATCATTCTTTACTCGGGATCGGCTGTTAGGCAGGACAAACATCTTCGATTAACCACACAGCCTTCAGCAGAGGCAATTCCAGCTCAACACGACACGCACCGGCGCTGCCAGGTTGTTGATGCCTTTGGAAGACACAAGCACTTCCAGCACAATTCGCTTTCCCGTTCCAAGTGATACAGCACTGCAGCCACTGAGCAGTAGAGAAAGCGGTGATCTGAAAACCTTCCCGGCCCCCACCATTGTATCCCAGTGTCTCCTACAGTTTGGGAATCGGCTTTGGTCAAGGGATGTCCACATCCAATCCCTCTTCCATCAAATCACAGAATCATTGGGTTGGAAGGGACCTTTCCCTTCGTGCGGAGAACTACAGCATGATCTTGGCTGAGACGTGCCAGGTCCAACCGGGCAAGCAAGGCCAGCGCTTGCTAGGACCCAGAGGACAGAGCCTGAGGTCAGCTTATTGGAAACAACAAATGCAAAACAAGGAAGGGGAAAAAAAGCAGATGTACTTTTCCCACCACTTCCCCTTCTCTGCACCCAGCACCCTTTTATCCTGTTTGGGAGGGGAATAAGGGGGTCCTGTACTGTGCAACAGGAATATTAGGACTGGTAGACAGAACCAAAACCACCCCGTATTTTATATCTCCGTGCACAAGACACCGGAGCCAGCCTATGTGTTCCAGCACCCCAGCAGAAAGCTGCTGGAGAGCCGCTTCCCCTCCCGGTCCCACCAGCCCTGCCTTCCCCACCCAGGCTCCATATTTCTGCAGCTGAAGTAAAAAAACAAACAAAAAAGAAGTCCCGATGGCAAGAAATACCATATCTGACTCTAGGATTTATATAAAATAATCCCCCAGCTCTAAATGAGCACAGAGATACTTCGAGGAGATTATGCGTTTGTTAATTGTTTGACAAATGGAAACTAGCTCGGACTGCTTAAATGCTAATTACTAGGCGAAAGCGTTGCTCTCCTGGGATGAGAAACGTACAAGCGGTGATTAAGCAGCCAGAGAAAACTGACTGGCTCTTAGAGCCAATACTGTTAAATTTGGCATTTTTCCCTTAACTGACTGGTAATTAATATCTCCATCAAACCACACATCCAAGTGCTCATGAGCAGCTCTCTTGTGCCCTCCTGTTCCTTTGCACGACTGAGTTTTTCCATTTCAACTGGGCTGCAAAGGTTCATCCGACACGATGTAAGCGCCCAGGACTCCCACCCCCTTTCAGCAGCAACCAAGAAAGGCAGAGCAGAACCTGACGTGCCATCCCAGAAGCACCTCTCACGTTGTCGCCATGCCAAGGGAAGAGCTAGCAGTAACTCCAGAGCCCAGCTTAGTTAAAACACTTCATTAACCCCACTTCTGCGCCCAAACCATAACTGCATCCCTAGCTTCCATCTTAAACTGAATTTAGCTCCATGGCAATTTGGGGAAATGAAAGAAGAGGTTCTTTCCCTGTGAGGGTGCTGAGGCCCTGGCACAGGGTGCCCAGAGAAGCTGTGGCTGCCCCTGGCTCCCTGGCAGTGTTCAAGGCCAGGTTGGATGGGGCTTTGGGCAACCTGGGCTAGTGGAGGGTGTCCCTACCCATGGCAGGGGGTTGGAACTGGATGGGCTGTGAGGTCCCTTCCAACCCAAACCAGTCTGGGATTCTACGAAACAGAAGACCATAAAAACAACTACACAGTGAGCGTGGTCTGCCTGCAGGTCCCCATTTCCCTGCAGGTCCATGGTCCCAGCTGGGCTCCAACCTGAGATCCACAGGGATGACAGGGGCCAACCAAAGCCACACAGTCTTCACCAGAAACCATGCCTGAAGAGGGCACTGCGGCATTACCTCCCCTTCACACAACTGGAAATGCCCACGTCCAAAGAGCAAGCCCGGTATCATCTCAGAGCTTAAGCTCCAGCCCTGTCCTAGGCTGGTCCTCTCCACAAAGCAGCTTAACCTACAGGAATTGATCCTGAAGGGTCCTGGAGATGGGCAGGACCACGGACCTGGCAGCAGAGGAAGACAAGAACATCCCTCTCCTCCTCTCTGTCACCAGGAGAGGTCCATGATGTCGGCTCATTACTCCTCTCCACAACCGGGAGTTACGACGTTGGCTCAGCTGCCGACGAAGCTGCAGTTTTGAGCCTCCCACCTTGCAAAAAAAATGCCCTAACCATGGAGCAACGGGTCGGACAGAGCCCTGGCCAGCAAGGCACACGGTTTATGGAGCCAAAAAAAATAAGCAAGAAGGAACCAAACATTTTAGCTCAGCTACCACTACGCTGGCCTGGGGAAGCACTGGTCCAAGCACCCATCCAGGAGTTCGTTGTCCAACAGTCCTTGGGGGACGCGTGGAGCCGGGGCACGAACCAGGGAGCAAGAGCTTCACGCTTCCCCAGCCTTCAAACAAAGAGATTTCACTCCAAAGAAGTCGCAAATAATGTTGTGGCAGGGGAGGGGACCGGGCTGTGGCGGGGGACGCTGCGCTCAGGAGCGGACCCCGGGCAGAGCTGTGTTTCTCAGCGTGACGTGGATGTTTTGACGCTTGAATCCTACACCGCCAGCTCCTTCAACCAGCAAGCAGAGAGGCAAATATTAAGCAGTCTGTAACCACAGGGGTTCAGTTTAACCCCTTAACAGGGTTAACAGCAATGAAAGCACTTCTTTGACGCGATCCAGCAAAATTAATTCCTTCAGTAAGCTTACCGCTCTGCCTATTTCCATATTCTGCCTATTTTGCATTTCCCTCTTTTGTCCCTAAACTCTTCAGCAGAGCTACTATGCTTTGAAAATGAGTTTCTTCTGATCCACGACAGAGCCAGCTGTAATTCAGCAGCAATCCCTGTACAGTCGTAGGTTGCACAGATCCAGCAATAGCATTTTTAGGATGCCAGGCAGAAGTTTCTGTGTCCCGAGGGAACAGAGCCTTCCTGATCCGTGCAAGCTGCAATGCAAGGATTAAAGAACAGAAAAGACAGATGAGAAAGATAACTGCAGGAAGATCAAGGCAAGCACACCGCATACTGACACCGTTAACAGGTTTCAGGGTGCTTTACTGATTAGCTTTTTGGCTTAATTTCTACATTAGCTAATATACCAAGCACGGAAATTTAATTCTTGGCCCCACTCGTACATTTCCACGCAACCCCAGCCAAGCCGCTGAATTTCTTTGCATTTCCTTTAAAACAGGCTGCAGACGACCATTTCATAAATGCTGGACGACAGCTACGGGGCAGCATCCAAAATGCCAAACCAGGGCCTGGAAACCCAACAGATCACCCGGTGTTCAGGCTGACGCCTGCAACTGCTCAGTGGAGTCGCAGCCGCAGCGTTACACGTGTCTGGTGCAACTTGTAGGAACCTCTAATTTTGACAATTAGCCCATCTTGGGATTAACTGGAGAGAGATCTACATGCTGAAATCAGTTATTTCTGTATGAATATAATATATAAAGCATATATATATATTTATGAGGCCCGAGGCCAGCTGAGCTTTGCAACCTCTGTTGCTATTACCGTCTGAAGCTTTCCTGCACGGGTCAGCAGAATTTGTACAGCAAAAAAATGAGCGTGCAGCAAGCCCCCTCACGATCGCAAGAGCTTTTGAGGCAGCTGTTTCCCAACGCACCTTCGTGGCGGGGGGCACACCC